TCGACTTTCTCCAGGCGTATTATTGGCCTCCACGCTCAATCTCGAATAAATCCTTCCTGATTGGTGCCCTGCAGGACCAATACCCGAGAAGGGAAACTCGGGGGGGGGAGGGGGTGGGAAGGAAGGATGAGGGAGGAGCGTAAGGGAAGAGCTGGTCAAGCATGGCAGGGCAAATACTGGGTGGAGGACGAGGAGGGATCAGCAAGAGGGGAGAGGGGCTGGTTGGTACTCGGAAGGGACAAGGGACAAGGAGGAAGGGAGGAGCGGAAAGTAGGAGCTGGGCAAGCATGGCATGGCAAGGCAAATACTGGGTGTAGGACCAGAGGTGATCAGCAAGAGGGGAGAGGGGCGGGTTGGTTGGTATTATGCCCTCCCTTTCCACCTACACCCTTCACTCATCTCCCACTCCCGCTCCCCTTCTGCCTTCTCCCACCCCATTCCCTCAATCCTAGACTTAGCCCTTCACCCCAACTATCCTGCTATTCCTTTCCCTTCCCCTCACTGACTCCCTACTGGGTGCGCTGCTTCAGAGTCTGCTGCCCCACTCCATTCTCCCCAACACTTTTCCAATCTTCCTCTATCTCACGACCCCCCATTCCCATCACACCGAGTAACCCCACCAGCTCCCCCCGCGAGCCTGTTCCTCCCCCCTTCCACACCCCCTCTAGTGCGCAGCATCCGCTGCTCTTCACTCCCCTCCCCTGCAGTCAGGGGAGGGGGTGTCAGGTGGGGAGGGATTGAGGACCGGAGGGAAGAGGGGGAAACGAATATGACGGAGGGGAGAAAAGGCGAGGAATGCGGAAGCGACTTCAGGCGGATGGAGGGAGAGGTTGGAGAAAGGAGAAAGGGGCTGGAGGGGGAGCAGAGGTAGCACCATCTCCTCTCCTGCTTTTCCTTCCCCTCCACCGCTCTCCTCACTGGGTGCCCTACTTCTGAATTTGCTCCCCTATTCCCCTCAACCCAATCAGGTTGAACCTGATTTTTCAACTCTACGCTCTCCCAACCCCCAACCCCCAACCCCCATTCCCCAAACACACCCACCACCAACACTCTCCCCCCTCCTTCAACAGCCTCCTCTCATCCCCTCGCCCACAGCACCCGCTGCAGTCCATTCGGCCGCTCCCCCTGCAGACAGGGAAACTTCAGCGGAAAGGGAGGAGAGCGAAGGGGAATACAGGGAAAGTTTGGGATGGGAGAGAGGTTTGGGTGATGAGGGATGCGAGTAGTAAATTTCGGCTTCTTGCGAGGAGGCGTATTGGGCGAGGAGGAGATGATAAGTATTATTTAGTAGGGCACCTTTGAGTCAACTCAAAAGTAATCTAGTAGTTAGGGCACTTGGTATCTCCTCTTGCTGCGGAAGTTCAAGGCGGAATGTATCGCGGGCGTCACCAAGACCGCTCGAGCGTGGCTCGCGTGGTCCCAGGTTACATCGTCTCAACCCTTCGTCGTGTCGACAGTAATGCTCGTCCCACGTTACTCGTCGAAAATAGCGCGTCTATTTCGTCGAATTGACAACTTAACTTAGTCTGAGTGTCTCCTGAAACTCTCGGGAAACCCTAATTTGGTGTGGGTGTGCTGAGATGGGGTTGATTCACACCTGATCTCACAAACGCTGCTTCCTTTTTCGCAGCTGCTCGTTCAACTCCTCGACTGCGAAAGCTGATTCCAGCTCGTAAGCCAGTGGGGAGGAGCCGAACAGACTTCGCGCGTCATCACGAGGGAAAATATTTGGTTACAACAAAGTTATCTGTTACCCTCATGATCGGCGAACAATTGGGCCCTGTCGGCGGCCCGTGATTCCAGGCAGGGGAGTTTGCAGGCACATCGTAATGGTCGCGAGTGTTCGTCAGTGTCGCAAGGCTCTTCGACAGTTTCGTTTCTCGCCAGCCCGTTCGAATCGCATCAACGCAGTGAGCTTGGCAATAATTGTGGTCCTTTCTTCTCGGCTGCGAGTGACGAATCCGAGAACCTGCGACGTCGTGAATGTGCAATAGTCATTCGTTACGGCAGACAGAAATTTCCTCCATGACCCAAGACCTGACGGAACGACATCGTTTCCTCGGCAAATATTGTCGCCGAGTTTCCAAAATCACAGTTCTTGAACTGCGCACGCCTCAGTTTCTAACAGGACATTGTTCCGTCAGCCTCGCCGTCCATTCGCCGTCAGTTTGGGGGCAATAATTGTGGATGTGTACACCTGCAAGACAAACGAAGCACAATGCAACCTTCTGGAGCGCAGCCGGAAACGCATTCACCCAATGGCGGCTCGAAGCCGCTCTCGGGTGTGCAACACCGACTATTCCCCGTTCCAGCCTAGCTCGACGCATGGGCTCAGTACTACAAAATCCAGCTATTTCTTTCCTTTCATCACTCAATTCACCTTCAGCTCTTCTAGTTATCGAGTATCATTTTCCCAGCCCGCTTGCTCATTCTAAAGGCGTTACTTCCCTCTCTGAACTACTAAGGGCTCTCTGCAGCCAAGTAACTCAGCGATTTCCGTCCCTCTTACGCAATACTCCGCGATGGCTCTCTTTTCCAAGGTCAGCGGCGTGCTGTGCCTCGTGTTCTTCCTGCTAGCTCTTGCCCTCACTCCCTCCAACGCCATTTCCACTACCTACAGCGAAGGAATCAACTACGGAGGCGGCGCGTGCAATTACGAAGGCAATTTCCGTGACAGCCCGTTTTTCTACAACGGTCTAACCGCGTACGTGCCTCGGAGCAAGTACAACGGCGGCAAGGGCTGCGGCACGTGCTACGAGGTTTCGTGCAAGAACAACCCGAGCTGCAAGAGCGGCAGCGTGACGGTTCGCGCCGTTGGGAAGCAAGGCGACGATTTCCTCCTCTCCTCGACCGCGTGGGACAAAATCGTGCGCGACCGGTCCGCGGGCCGCGTGGAGATTAAGTACCGCAGCGTGGACTGCCCTAAGAGCGCCAACATGGCGGTTAAGATCATGCCCGGGAGCAACGCGTACTGGTTCGCGGTTCAGATTCTGGGCGGCGCGAAGGCCGGCGGGGTGGAGAAGGTGGAGATCTCGAAGGACGGGAGCAGCTGGAAGAGCATGAGCGCGCAGGGAGAGAGCGCCACGTGGATCATGAATCCCGCCAAGGAGATCGTGGATGCGGGGAGGAAGGTGAGCTTGCGCGTGACGGCGGTGGGAGGTGGGTCGCAGGCGGTGCTGACTGATATTATTCCAGCGAAGTGGAGCGCTGGAAAGACATACGAGAGCAGCGGTAACTTTTAAACACAAGGGCGCGTTGCGAGGAGTTGTTGCCGACACGAAAGCGTAGTGTAGAAACGTGGAATAAATGCCAGAGGACCAAGCATGATGAGATTGAATCGTTGGCGTACTGGTACTAGGCATTTGCCCCGCACTGAATAAATGCTTGTCTTGCATGCAGTACTCTTGTTTGATGTCCAACTTATCATATCCACAATACACACAGTCACCTACACCCTGTTCTGCTTTAGGGTTGTCTGTGCGAGAGCTGCAGTTTGTGCAAGCGCTGATATTGCTTGCGTTTCTGTCAAATGCTCTTGAGGCCATACATTCTGTTGTTTTTGGCTCTCCCGCTCAAAATTGACAAATGCTGGTCAGCCAACCAGCGCAGCACGAAATCAATACCTGAGCGGGAAACGGCGAGGGGTGCAGGGGGGGGAAGGGTCACAGAGAGCTGTTAGACATAATAGAGAGATTTGAATGCGATAGGACAGGAGGCAACTTGAAGAAAGAACGAGATAGGAAAGAAGACAAGAGGGGAGAAGATAAGTCGACGACAGATAGGATGGTGAGAGGGGACGAATATATAAAGGACGGTGGAAAGAGGTAGATAACGGTCGACCAGAGAGGAACGAGTTGGGAATAAACAGAGTGAACGAAGACAACGGAGATAGCGCGCGGGGAGAGAAGCGGAGAGAGAGAGACGAGGAGAGGGAGAGATGCAGAGGGAGGCAGGTGGGGAGAGAGAAGATGGGAGAGAGAGAAGCGGGAACGGGAGAGACGCGAAGAGAGGGCGGAGAGCGGGAGAGACACGGAGGGAGGCGCGCGGGAGAGAGAGCAGCGCGAAAGTCGGAAATGGAGTGAGAGGCTTAGTAAACGGCAATATAGGCGGAGAGAAAAGCGCTCGCTAAATTGTGACGCTCGACAATCGCATATCGCTCGCGCGCGCGTAGTAGTAACGCGTCACTTCGTCGCACCGAAATATCACGGTGGCGTAGGCTTCAGTATACGGTAGTCGGCCAAGCCTAACTGGTCGCGGCGACAACTAAACGCAGACTTAGTCTCAACTAAATTTGTCGCTAGCCTCTCGGCGAAACCCGAATTGGCTCGAAATGGGCTCGAGTTACAAATGCTTCACTTGCCCTTACATTTGGTCGGTCAACTCGTCGTGAGTGTTTCGCAAGGGTTACATCGAGAGCCTGCGAAAAAGAGCCAGCCAGGGAGGTTTGGCCTTCATCACTAACAAGTACTCTGGATTTGCTGGTCCTCTCACATTCACATGGCGCGACACTGAATGTTTCGTACCGGCTACTCTAAGGGCGTCCTACTGCAGCCTGATATATATCATAGTCTTCGTGGTACTATGCGTTGCAAAAGTACAAATTCTATTTTAGTGCGGTTTATTGGGATGTTGCGCAAGTATGATTCCGGTACGAGGTTCTAAGGATAGGTCCTAACAGCAATCGCGCTCCTCACCGACAAGTTCGACACTGCAAATCTCAGGGCGTGATACATACAGCTCCGGAACTGACCGCTGTACAGACAACGGCATGGTAACAATTATCGTCAATGTGTGCAAACTTCTTCGCCATTAAATTAGCGACTGCTGCCTGAAATTGTTGAAACAGGTTACCATCACCGTCGGGGCAGGGGTATCCGAAACATCTCCCCGCCAGTTCCAAACGGTCAACCTTTCCCCCTTGGCGAAACGAGCGAAAGGTCGACGCTGTTGTTAACGTGAGAAGGAAATGATAACTAGAGGTGGAAACCTAGAACAAATACTAGTTGGTTGTACTCACTAGAAGCATACCTCAGTCTAGCCTATAACTTCTACATAGTTAATATTATCAGAAAATTGAATGATAGTGATAGGGGGAGAGTACACACAATATAGCTAAGTGTTATACCCTCTAAGAGGCTACCCTATACAGTCTATACAAACATAACAAATAGACATGTTTGACACACCCCCTAGACTGCATAGGGGAAAGTCCTAAACAAACAGCTCAGGGCGGCACTACTAGTCCAACCTCTGAGACAAGGGTCTGAGCGACCAGTCAGAAGGAGTACAGACAAGGCAAGCAAAGAGCAGGGCGGCACTACTAGTCCAGCCACTGGGAGAGGACACAAGTCCAGTCTGAGTATACATATAAAGGACAGTACAAAGTCAAGGTCCTAGCAAGTGAGAGGCTACAGGAACTAGACCAAGCTGTACACAGTGCCGCTGATGATCTTTAGGCGCAAGCGCCTTCGTAAAGATATCAGCCGTGTTGGCACCTGAGGCCAAGTGTACTACGCGAGCCTGACGTCGCTGCTGTAGCTCACGCAGGAGGAAGTACCGCAGCTGAATGTGCTTCGCTCTGCCCTCGAGTCGAGGCTCCTGACACAGGAGGATCATGGCCCTGTTGTCAGCGAACAGGACCGGGGCAGAGCTAGGTCGCTCACCTAAGTCAGTGAGCAAGAAGGTCAGCCAGCGGAGCTCCTGTGCCGCCATGGCACCGGCATAGATCTCAGCCTCACAGCTGGACTGTGCAACAGACGAGGAGCGAGTAGCTCTCCACGAGACGGCACCTGAGCCAAGGCTGAAGCAGTAGCCCTGGGTAGACCGGAGTGTCTCAGCGTCGTCTGCCCACGAAGCATCTGTGTGCCCAGTAAGGACCGCTGGCCTGCGTCCTCCTAGCACTAACCCCATGCCCGATGTACTAGCAAGATAACGCAGAACCCTCTTAGCGGCAGACCAGTGCTGCGGTCGGTGTCTGCCTGTGGCCACAAAGCGAGCCAGGATGCTGAGAGGGTATGCGAGATCTGGGCGAGTGCAAGTCATCAGGTACATGAGGCAACCCACCAGCTCTGCGTAGGGGCCGCTCGGCTCTACCAACTCCTCAGGCACTGGAGCGGAGAGCCTGTGGTCTACAGGCAGAGGGGTGGGCTGTGCAGAGGAGAACTGAAGGCTGAACCTCTGAAGGACCTGGCGCACCAAGTGTGACTGAGTCAGGATGATGGTGCGCGCAGCTCTGTCCCTGGAGATCTGCAAGCCAAGGTAACGGCGCAGTTCTCCAAGGTCAGTGCAGTTGTGTCTCTTCAGCAGCTCTGCCTTCACGGAGGCCAGCGCGTCCCTGTCTACTGTGGCAAAGACCAGGTCGTCGACGTAGACGAGGATGTAGAACGGAGTCTGGCCAGCACGAACGAAGAGTGAAGGGTCTGCAGAAGACGGAAAGAACTGCAGGTCAGCAAGCGTAGCACGCAGAGTGTCGTGCCACTCACGGGGAGCCTGGCGCAGGCCGTAGACGGGACGCCGCAGGAGCCACTGGGTCCCAAGAGGGAAGGTGCCAGTAAAGCCCGGAGGGCGGCGCAGGTAGACCTGCTTGTGTAGGCTGCCCTGAAGGAAGGCAGTGGAGAAGTCGAGGGAGTGAAGCTCGTAGTCACGCTGAGCAGCTAGGTGTAACAGAACCCGAAGAGTAGTCATCTTCGGGGTCGGAGCGAAAGTCTGGAAGAAGTCCACCCCCTCGCGCTGACTGAAGCCTCTAGCCACATAGCGCGCCTTGAAGACAGGCGGCTCTCCAGGAGGGCGCTTCACCTTGAAGAGCCAGCGGCCATCGACTACGTTCACCCCAGGTGGGGGAACTGCGTCGACGAAGGTGCCGGTGGATCTCCAAGATGCCATCTCCTGCTCCATGGCAGCTATCCACTGCGAGGCCCAGGGTCCCGAAGTCGCCTCAGCGTAAGTGCGAGGGGTCGGGATGTCAAAAGCGTCTGGGTCACCCTCAGGGACTAGCAGCATGGAACAGAGATGGGGAGCAGCCTCAGACAGGAAAGCAAGCTCGAACTGGCGGTCCTCCAGGACGTCACTGCCAAGGGCAGGAGCACCCCCGACAGACGGAGGACAGGCAGGGTCAGAGACCAGAGCGGTGGCGTAGTCAAGGCGGCGGGTAGAGGCAAAGTCAGCCACAGCAGCGACAAGAGCGTCAAGGCACGAGATTGGAACAGACGGGTCGGTAACGAGAGAGGCAAGGACCCGAGGAACGAGGGGACGAGCGGCACGAAGGTAGTCGGACAGCGGGGGGGGGCGCAACAACAAGGGAGGACGGAGGAGGCGACGGCAGAAGGGGAGGACGAGACGCGTGTGAACGAAGCAACATAGGGTGGGAGCGCAGGACAGGCGAGGCAGGACGAGCACGGGAGGGACGGTGAGACCAGACGTGCGATGGAGGAGTCGGGTCAGGAGACAGGGGAGGGGACACAGGAGGGGAACGAGGGGGGAGACGGGCCGGGGACGAGTCCGGCGGAGGGAAAACAGGGCCGTAGACAGGAAGAGGAGGAGACGGTCGGGGAGGAACCGACGCAGGGTCGGGGGACGGAAGGCCGAGCAGGCGAAGGGCGGACACCGGCGGGGACTGCTGCTGCGGTGGCACAACGGCGACACCTGGACCGCAAGCTGCTCCTCGGCTACCACCGGCACGCTCCACACCCGCACCCCCAGAGGGACCACCCTCAGGGCGACCGGGACGAGCACCCCCAGAGTCAGCGAACGGGGGCTGCGACTGCGGCGGCGGCGACGGCGACGGCTGCAGTGGCGGCAGGGACGGCGGAGGAGGGGACTGGGGAGGGGACACCTGGGGAGGGGCGGCCGGCGAGGACTGCACCGGAGGGCCACCAGAGTCAGAAGACTCCTCAACCGGGTCCACCGACGGAAGGGGGGTGACATGGGAGACACCAGAGGGGGCGGGACGGGGAGGAGGAGGAGGAGGGGCAGGGACTACCGGGGAAGGGGTGACCAGGAACAGGGGGGGGGTAACCGGGGGACCACGGTGGGGGAAGCGGCGGTAGTAGGAGACGGACTCGTCAAAGGTGACGTCACGAGAGTGAAAGAAGCGGTGAGACGGCGGGTGGTAAAAGTGCCAGTCGGACGCGTCAAGGGGAAAACTGAGGAAGACGCAGGGAAGGGTGCGGGCAGTGAGCTTGTCCGTGCCGGAGGCACGGACGTGAGCAAGGCAGCCCCAGACGTGGAACGCAGACGCGTCACCAGGAGACCCAGTCCACAGACGGGTCGGCGAAACCTGCGGCTGCTGAGGGTGCGGCCACAGGTTAAGCTGGTGAGAAGCGTAGCGCACAGCGAACGGCCACAGAAAATGGGGTGCACCGGCATGGACCATGGAGGTGCGAGCGACCTCCATGACCAAGCCGATGCGTCGCTCAGCGACCCCATTCTGCTGTGGGGAGTCCGGTAGGGTGAACGTCTGGGTGATGCCCTCCGCACGACAAAAGCGACCAAGGACACCTGAGGCAAACTCGCCACCACGGTCTGAGTGAAGACGCAAGACAGGGAGACCGCGGTGGACACGCGCAGAGACAAGCCAGGGGATGAGGGCGCCAGGCACGTCGGCCTTGCGCTCCAGGGGAAAGACTGTGGTGTAACGAGTGAAGTCGTCGACAAGCACAAGGAAGTAGCGCTCGCGACGCGGCCCAGGGACGGGGGCGGGGCCCCAGACGTCCAGGTGCAGGGTCTGCAGCGGCGCGACGGTAGGGGGGAACGAGGAGGAGTGAGGGGCACGGCGAAGCCGACCCTCGACAAAAGGCGTGCAAGGTGGAGCTGGGGAGGAGGGAAACGCGGGGAGTGAACCTGGGAGACCAAGGACAAGACCGTGCTGGGACATGTGACGCAGACGCGGGAGCGCAGGGTGACCTAGGCGGTGATGCCACAGGAGGGTCGGGTGAGTGAGGGAGCGACAGGAGCACGCAGCAGCAACCTGGGTAGACACAGCCACCTGAGGGGGCGCTCCAGCCGGGGGGGGCACTGTCACAGGATCGAATGTGTCGAGGAAAGGTTCCACTATCGATCAGTACAAGGCGCTTTTATACTTCCAGAGTACATCAGGTAACCAGGTTTATCTTATCCTAAGGGAATAGACCCTTCTAGAAGATAGAATCACCCTGCGTATAGCCACGCGAGGCTATTGGCTTTAAGGGATTACAGCAGGATTACGCTAGATAGAGCGCACCAATATATCCCAAGCCTGGTCGGTGATATAATGATAATAGCAGGATAAACCAAAGGTTAATGGAAAAGGAAGAATAGGAAACCAAATGAGATGCGGTAAAAAGAGAAATGAAAAGGGAAGGAAATAAGAAAAGGCCAAGTGGTGTAACGGGGTCGTACTCTCACACTTCCCCCCCTCAAAGCTGGGTGGTAGAAGTAACACCCTGCTTGACAAGGTAGTCATGCAGAGGACGACGGGCGTTACCCATGTCGGACTCAGGTACCCAGCTGTCCTCAGAAGGATCATAACCCTTCCAACGGATGAGAAGCTCCACGGTGCCATTCCGACGACGACGATGTGCAAGCACGGACTAGACCTCGTACTCGGGTTCGTTCTGGACGAGGACGGGCGGCGGCGGCGGCGGCTGACGTCCCACGAAGATCGTGTTAGGATCTCGATAGGGCTTCAAAAGTTGGACATGGAAGGCGTTGTGAATCTTCCAGGTAGCTGGCAGGCGTAAGCGGAAGGTAACAGGAGTGACCTGTGCTTCAACGAGAAAAGGCCCGCAGAAGCGAGGTCGAAGTTTAGATGGGAGGTGGCTGATGTCCAGGTTGCGGGTGTCAAGAAGCACCTGGTCTCCCACCGTGATGGTGTGATCGTTGCGATGGCGATCGGCTTGGCGCTTCTGTTGCTGTTGAATATCGAGTAGGCGCTTGTGGGTCCGATCCCAAAGCTGGTGCATGGTTGTAATGAAATCATGTGCGGGTTGGACTGTAGCTGATGCTGTCGGTTTTTGTGGTGTGAGTGGGTGGCGTCCGTAGCAGAGGAAGAACGGCGTCTGTCCAGTAGCAGCATGTGTAGCATTGTTGTAAGCAAACTCGAGTACGGGCAGGTGCAAGTCCCATTTGGAGATGTCGTCCTTGCAGGCTGCTCGGAGGAGTTGCTCAACAATTTGGTTGAGGCGCTCGGTCTGTCCGTCTGTCTGCGGATGGTATGCGGATGACATGGCGAGTTTGGTCCCGAGAAGAGACATAAGTTCCTTCCAGAACTTGCTAGTGAACTTGGGGTCTCGGTCGGAGATGAGTGTAGTTGGGATGCCATGCTGTGAGATGATGTGACGAACGAAGAGCTGTGCTGTCTCCTCGGTGCGTGCCGTCGTGTGTGTCGGGATGAAGTGTCCCATTTTGGAGAACTTGTCAATGACGACAAGGATGGCGTCATGACCGCTGGAGGTAGGTGGTAACCCGGTAATGAAATCTAGGCTAACCACTTGCCATGGTTGTTCTGGGACAGGAAGAGGCTGCAGTAGTCCCGCCTTTTTCTGCTTGCTGCTCTTCATCCGCTGACATGTATCACACGAGGTGACGAATTTCTGGACGTCGTCTGCCATATGGGGCCAGTAGTAGTGTTTGGCGATACCGGTGAGCGTCTTGTTGCTACCGAAGTGTCCGGCGTACAGGACGTCGTGGTATTCTTCGAGTAGTAACTGGCGCAAAGGAGGGTAATTGGGTACCCAGATTTTTGTGGATCCCTTCCGGTATGCGATGTCATTGTCCCACTGTAGCAGATGTCGCTTTTATGCCAAGGAAATTTCGGGGTCGATGGCGTACCCGTGGGTGAAGAGTCCCTTGAGTAGTGGATTCATCCCTTCGATCTGAATCGCGGCAACGTGTGCAGGCCGGCTGAGAGCGTCTGCTTTGTTCTTGTGGCCGGGCTTGTACACGATGTCGTAGTGGAAGTGTGTCTCGAGGAAGTCGATCCACCGGACCTGCCGCCTGGAAAGGTTGGGTTGTGTCTTCAAATATTTCAGGCTGCAGTGGTCGGTGTAGACGGTCGTTCTTCGTCCTTCGAGATAGCATCTCCACGCTTTGAAGGCGATGATGATAGCAAGAGCCTCTTTGTCGTGTATCGGGTAGTTGAGTTCTGCCCCGTGCAGTTTCTTGCTGAGGTAGGCAATTGGTTGCAGTCCATTCCCCTGGTCTTGCATCAAGACTGCACCCACGGCCTGATCACTGGCGTCTGCTTCAATGACGTAGTCACGTTCGGGATCTGGCAGGATGAGCACCGGTGCGGACGTTAGTGCTTGTTTCAGCTGCTCCACGGCTTCCTGGTGCTTCGTCTCCCATTTGTAGGCGTGTTCTTCTTCAGCAGATTCGTGAGTGGTGTCGCGAGTTTCGCATACTGTGGCACGAACCTGTTGTAGTAATTAGCGAAGCCTAGGAATGCTGCAACTCCTTCACGTTCTCGGGTGTCTTCCACGTACGTACGGCTTCGACTTTCTTGGGGTCGACGTGAACTCCTTGAGCGCTCACCAAGTGTCCTAGAAATTGGACTTTCTCCAGGGCGAATTCGCTCTTGGACAGTTTGACGTAGAATCGTTCTCGTCGAAGAATTTCGAAGACGCGTCGCAGGTGTTCGACGTGCTGCTTCATGTCGCGCGAGTAGATGAGTATGTCGTCCAGGTACACCACCACGCATTCGTCCAGAAGTGGTCGTAGAATGTGGTTCATTTCGGCTTGGAACGTTGCCGGCGCGTTGGTGAGTCCGAACGGCATGACCAAATACTCGTACGATCCGTACCGAGTTCGGAAAGCAGTTTTGTGGATAGAGTTGTCCGCCATCCGTATCTGCCAGTATCCGGACCGCAGATCCAGTTTGGAAAATACCGTAGCTCCCCGAAGCTGGTCAAGCAGGTCATCGATTCGCGGTATCGGATATTTATTCTTGATGGTCTGCTTGTTAAGAGCTCGGTAGTCGATGCACATGCGCAGGCTTCCGTCCGGTTTCGGTGTGAAGAGTACTGGGGCACCGTATGGCGAAGTAGATGGTCGGATGAGTCCTTTGGCTAGGAGATACTCGATCTGCTTCTTCATGTCGGTCAGCTCCGTAGGGCTGAGCCGGTATGGTGCTCGGAAGGTCGGCTTCGAACCCGGTTCCTCCACGATCTCGTGTTGATGCGTTCGGTATGGCGGTAGCTCGTTCGGAAGATCGTCAGAAAGAATGTCTTGGAACTCCTTCAGTAATTCCTTGATTTTTTCTGAAGTTTCCGAGGCTTTCTCTCCGTCATTCTCCACCTCTGTTGCTATCGCCAGGAACCCGGTGTCGGTCCGCTTCACATCCTTCTCGAATCGTGCGAGTGTCTCCACTGGGATATCTCCTGTATCGTCCCAGTTGGGTAGCTGTACTCTCCGTCCATTGTTGTAGATGCTTGCGGTGCGGTTCACCCAGTTGATCTCGGGGTTGAATTTTTTCAGGAAGTCTTGCCCGAAGATCAAGTCAAGCCCTTTGATGTTGGTGATGGGGAGTGCAGGTCTCCAGCGCAGTGGTCCGATTTGTAGATGTAGCACTGCTTCGCCGTGTACTGGTAACTTGCTGCCGTCCACCATCGTTGCAGAGAATCCTGAAGGCTTGTACTCTTCCCGGAGTCGGTCGATCATTGCCTTGTCGCAGACGGTGTGTGACGCTCCGCTGTCCACGAGTGCTTGGAGGCGTCGTCCTTTGCAGATGACCTCGAGCACGAGGGGCAGTCGTTGCTCGGAGTACCCAAAGATAGTTTCATTGATTGGGTCATAGGGTACATCCCAATATTCCGTACACACCTTTGTGTTGTTGTCTACTCCTGAGCTGGCAGCTGGCCAAGGCTGCTTGGAGAACGGCTCTTCTCCAGGGCCCGGAGTTTCTTTGACGACTGTGCGCGTCACTGATGCCGAAGAACTGGATGCATCCGTAGAAGGAGTTCGGGGTTTGTGCAGCTTCTTGTAGACCCCCAGCTTCCTCTTGAGCTGCTTCAGCTCCACCGACGTCTTCCCTGGGGAGCGGGTAGTCGTTGTGGGCTGGTGTCGGGAGAGGACGTTGACTCCGTGGAAAGGTCGGCTTCTTTCCACACTCCTTAATTTGGTCCCCAAGTTGTCCGGTACCGGTATAATCTCCACAGCTGTCTGCTTCTTTTGGAGTCCCTCCCGAATTTTCTCCAAGGCTCTAGCCCCTCGAACATCATAAGTTTTCATTAAAGCATCTTTATAAGATAACTTTAACGAATTCTTATAATTTCTTGGGTCTTCAAGGAGTTTCCCTGTCTCGGCAGAGTCTTTTTTCGCGGAGTCGTATTTTTCCTCGGCGATTTTCCCTGGCGAAGACTGGTCGTGGGTGGAGATTTTCCCCCATCATTTCCTCCTTCTCGCGTCGAATCAGCTTCGTCGAAGTTGATTTTTCCGGAATCCCGCGGCCGCTTTCGGATCTTTTTATTTTCGCCAGCTAGATCCGCAATCACTGGCGACTCCCGTTTTTTGTCTTCTGATTGGCCGAGAGATTTCCGCCACTGTTGCGTGCCCGATACTCTGCGCGTGCGGCCTTCATTTTGTTGCAGTCGAAGATTCGGTGGCCCGGCACCCCGCAAAAATCACACGTGTAGTTGGTGTTTTACGGACGTGGCCGCCCCTCGAATCTGTCGACTTCCATCGGGTCGGCGAACGTGGGGTGAGCCGAGCGGTCGCCCTGTCACGAACTGCCGACGAGCGTCCGTCGTGTTCCGGCGTTGACCATGTCGAAGCGCTCCGCTGCCGAAACGACGTCACTGTAGCTCGCGTAGTTTGACGCTGCGACTTGTCGTTTGACTTCGGTCTTCAGCCCGGCGAGGTACGATTGTACTTTTTCCCCTTCGGTCAGGTCGGGAATGCGGTTATAAAATTCCTCCATCTGCTGCGTGTACTGTGCTACACTCCCGAACTGTCGGTGTCGATGAATTTTTTCCCGGGCAAGGAAACTCGAATTTATCGGTTCGAAGCATTTCAGCAGGTCGGCGCGGAACTGCTGCCACGTGGCTTCACCGTGGATGAAAGTACTGTTGCCGCCAATCCACTCGAGTGCCGGCCCTCGCATCAGTGTCGCCGCGAGTCGTACACGTTGACCGTCCCAGACTGGCGAGCTCCATCCGACGGCTGCGAAGTAGATCTCCATCCCGGCGATCCATCTGCGGGCGTCGGAGTTTCGATCGCTCGGATCGAACGGCTCAGGTGGGCGCGGTTTCGGAGCCTCGAGAAACTGCTGCGACTGCTGCGTCGTCGCCGTTGTCGTCTCGTGCTGCGCTCCGGCGAGTCGAGTTACTCGCTCGAACTGGTTTCGCCACGCTTCGCGATCCGCTCGCATTTCCTCCTGAAGGGCTGCGATGCGCGCGAAGAGCTGCTGGGTAACCTCGGCGTTGTCGAAGGTTGCCATCCTGTTCAAAACACGCACGGAGGGGGTAATTCGAAAATCGCGGAGCTGGTGCTTACCAGAATCGGCGTCGAATTGGTTGCCCCCGGCGGTTTTTCGAGGCAGGATCCCCGCTGCTGCTGCTTAGCTGAGCGCGGCCGAGTGAGAAAAGCTCTGATACCAAGTGTCACAGGATCGAATGTGTCGAGGAAAGGTTGCACTATCGATCGGTACAAGGCGCTTTTATACTTCCAGAGTACATCAGGTAACCAGGTTTATCTTATCCTAAGGGAATAGACCCTTCTAGAAGATAGAATCACCCTGCGTATAGCCACGTGAGGCTATTGGCTTTAAGGGATTACGGCAGGATTACGCTGGATAACGTCTCTAGTACATTCCATGCCTGGTCGGTGATATAATTATAATAAAGGAAGAGACCAAAGGATAATGGAAAATGGAAAATAGGAAACCAAATGAGATGCGGTAAAACGAGAAATGAAAAGGGAAGGAAATAAGAAAAGGCCAAGTGGTGTAACGGGGTCGTACTCTCACAGCCGCACCCTCAGCAGTCGCAGGTTTCGCCGACCCTCCTTTGTACGGGGTCTCCTGGTAACGCGTCTGCGTTCCACGTCTGGGGTTACCTTGCTCGCATTCGTGCCTCTGGCACGGACAAGCTCACTGCCCGCACTGTCCCCTGCGTCTTCCTAGGTTTCCCCCTCGACTCGTCTGACTGGCAGTTCTACCACCCGCCTTCTCACCGTTTTTTTCACTCTCGCGATGTCACTTTTGACGAGTCCGTCTCCTTCTACCACCGCTTTCCCCACCGTGGTCCCCCAGTCACTCCCCCCCACTTCCTTGTGCCCCCCCCTCCGACCCTGTTCCCCCCCCTCCCCGCCCTGCCCCGGCTGGTGTGTCTCACGTCACCCCCCTCCCGTCGGTTGTCCCTGCCGAGGAGTCTGCTGACTCTCGTGGCTCGGCGGACTCTCTTCCCCCGTGTCACAGGATCGAATGTCCCGAGGAAAGGTTTGCTCAATGTTGCACTATCATTCAGTACAAGGTGCTTTTATACTTCCAGAGTACATCAGGTAACCAGGTTTATCCTATCCAAAGGAAATAGACCCTTCTAGAAATAGAATCACCATGCGTATAGCCACGCGAGGCTATTGGCTATAAGGGATTACTGCAGGATTACGCTAGATATAGCGCGCCAGTACATCCCCAGCCTGGTCGGTGATATAATTATAATAACAGGATAAACCAAAGGATAATGGAAAATGAGGAATAGGAAACCAAATGAGATGAGATAAAGACCAAATGAATGAGGATAATAAGAGGAATGAAATAGAAAGGAAATATGGAAAGGGGAAATTGGTGTAACGAGGTCGTACTCTCACACCCCGCCTGTCCTTTCCCCGGTCTCCCCTCCCCTGTCGGCGCCGTTGCTGTCCGAGCCGAAGCTGCAGCCGCCGTCGTCACCGCCGCTAGGGTTCGTGCGTTCTGGGGGTGCTGGGGAGCGGGCTGGACCTGGTTCTGGAGCGGGCTCTGGGGGTGCTGGCGTGGGGCTTCTCGGAGGGCGCCGTGTTGTCACTGGAATTTCTGGTGTTGGAGTCGGCCAGCAGCCGCAGGAGTCGCCGCCGGTGTCCGCTCTTCGCCTCCTCGGTCTCCCTTCCCCTGACCGCCCGTTGTTGCCTCCCCCTCTGCCGCCGCCTCCTCCTCTGCCGGTCCATGGCCCTATGTTTCCTCCCCCGGACTCCTCTCCAGCTCGTTTCCCTCTTTGTTCTCCTCATGTGTCTCTCCCCTCTCTCCTGACCCGACTCCTCCATCTCACGTCTGGTCTCGTCGTCCATCTCGTGCTCGTCCTACCTCCCATGTTCCGCAATCTCACCCTATGTTGCTTCGCTCTCACGCGGCTCTTGCTCCTCCTCTCCTCCCGTCTCCTCCCCCGTCGTCACTTGCTGTGGCCCCGCCTCCGTTCTCGAACTTCCTCCGTACTGCGCGTCCCCTTGTTCCTCATGTCCTTGCCTCTCTCCTTACCGACCCGTCCGTTCCTGTCTCGAGTCTGTCGGCCCTTGTCGCTGCTGTCACTGACTTTGCCGCTACCCGCCGCCTGGACTATGCCACCGCTCTGGTCTCTGACCTTGCCTGCCCTCCGGCTGTTGGGGACATCCTAGAGGACAGGCAGTTTTAGCTCGCTTTCCTGTGTGAGGCCACTCCCCATCTCAGTTTTATGCTACTAGTCCCTGAGGGTGACCCATACACCCTCGACATCCCGACCCCTCGCAACTATGCTGAGGCCACCTCGGGACCCTGGGCCTCTTGGAGCAGGAGATGGCATCTTGGAGATCCACCGGTACCTTCATCGACGCAGTTCCCCCACCTTGGGTGAACGTAGTCCATGGCCGGTGGCTCTTCAAGGTGAAGTGCCCTCCTGGAGAGTCGCCTGTCTTCAAGGCACGCTACGTTGCTCGAGGCTTCAGTCAGTGTGAGGGGGTGGACTTCTTTCAGACCTTCGCCCCGACCCCGAAGATGACTACTCTTCGGGCACTACTACACGTTGGAGCACAGCGTGACTACGAGCTACACTCCCTCGACTTCTCCACAGCTTTCCTCAACAGGGCAGTCTATATGAGCAGGTCTACCTGCGCCGCCCCCAGGGCTTCTCCGGTACCTTCCTCCCTGGCACCGAGTGGCTCCTCCGGCGCCCCGTCTACGGCTTGCGACAGGCGCCCCATGAGTGGCACGACACGCTGCGTGCTACACTTGCTGACTTGCAGTTTTTCCCTTCGTCTGCAGACCCCTCGCTCTTCGTCCGTTCCGGCCAGACTCTGCTCTACATCCTTGTCTACGTAGCCAACCTGGTCTTTGCTACTACAGACAGTGACGCGCTGGCCTCAATGAAGGCCGAGCTGCTGAGGAGACACACCTGCACTGACCTAGGAGAGTTGCGTTGTTACCTTGGCTTACAGATCTCTAGGGACAGAGCAGCGCGCACCATCACTCTCTCACAGTCACACTTGGTGCGCACGGTCCTTCAGCGGTTCGGCTTTCAGTTCTCTTCCGCACAGCCCACCCCTCTGCAAGTAGACTGCAGACTCTCTGCCCCAGTCCCGGAGGAGACTGTAGAGCCTAGTGGCCCCTACGCAGAGTTGATGGGTTGCCTCATGTACCTGATGACTTGCACTCGTCCAGATCTCGCATACCCTCTCAGCATCCTGGCTCGCTTTGTGGCTCCCGGCAGGCACCGACCACAGCACTGGTCGTCCGCTAAGAGGGTTTTGCGTCATCTAGCAAGTACTTCAGGCATGGGGCTAGTGTTAGGAGGACGTAGACCAGTAGTCCTTACCGGACACACCGACACTCCTTGAGCAGACGACGCCGAGACTCTCAGGTCCTCCCAGGGCTACTCCTTTAGCCTTGGTGCAGGTGTCATCTCGTGGAGGTCCACCCGTTCCTCGTCTGTTGCCCAGTTTTGCTGTGAGGCTGAGATCTGCGCAGGTGCCATGGCGGCACAGGAGCTCCGCTGGCTGACCTTCTTGCTCACCGACTTGGGTGAGCAGCCTAGCTCTGCCCTGGTTCTGTACGCTGACAACAGGGCCATGATCCTCCTGTGTCAGGAGCCACGACTTGAGGGCAGAGCGAAGCACATCCAGCTGTGGTACTTCCTCCTGCGCGAGCTGCAGCAGCGTCGCCAGGCTCGTGTAGTTCACTTGGCCTCAGGTGCCAACACAGCTGATATCTTTACTAAGGCGCGTGCGCCTAAAGATCATCAGCGGCACTGTGTACAGCTAGGTCTCGTTCCTGTAGCCTCTCACTTGCTAGGACCTTCATTGTGCACAGACCATTATATATATTACCCTGACTGGCCTTGTGGCCTCTCCCTAGTGGCTGGACTAGTTGTGCCACTCTGGTCTTGCTCTTGTGTTGTCTGTACTTGTTTTACTTGTCTTTAGACCCTTGCCTCAGAGGCTGGACTAGTAGTGCCACCCTGAGTTGTATCTCTCTCATCAGGCACTGCCCCGATCTAGTCTAGGGGGTGTGTCAAACATATATTGTATGTTTTTGTAGACTATATAGGGTTGTTCCTTAGGGAGTACAACCCATTAGGTTATATTCCCTTGTATGTCTTGTTCTAGTCATACCTTCACTTTGATAGCCTTGACTCACTATTGCTGGCGTTATCACGCGCGCCCTTCCATATGAGGTATCACGCTACTAGTACTGTCTAAGTATGATCAGGAATGCAAAAATGGTAACTCTGACGAGTATACTTCAACAGCATAGGGCCATATTTGGGCAACCCCTGTATGGTGGAGCACACTTCACTAGTCTAAACTCGGTTTGAACATATGTATATACTAGACTTCAATGGGAACGCGGGGTCGTTATAGCGATGTAGCGATATGGATGAACACCACAAATCAAATGCAGTAATCCAGGCCTGTCGCCATTTCAGGCCAAGTCTTGGACGTGCCGTCTACAATTGTTTTTTCTCGGCCCCCTTCTCCACCACAGGACAAATGTGAGTGGAATTGCTGTGGAGTGGCAATGCATCGTAACTGGGCTGCACTAGCTCTCCAATGGATTTGCGGGATATGCTAGCAAAAGTCAGAGCGTAAAGGTGAAGGGAGGTGTGGAGTGGAAGGGAGTGGTGTGGGTTTTGCTTTCTTGCAACGCAGTAATTTCGCCCCATACCAGCACTTTGTTCGTTCCAATATGACCCACGCTGACTCCAGGAAAATCGGATATTTCCTCACGGAATATCGACCGTAATAGGTGAACTTTGGGTGGTTATCTTGGGCTACCCTGGAATTCTTAGCTTGGGTTGAAGACAGGAAAGTCCAGAAGAAGCGCAGCGCCTCGGCAATGCGCGGTGCGCATGCCGATGGCGGTGCGAACCGCATTCGACATTCGTGCAATGAGGAAGTCTCACATTCCCGCCCCACAACTCAGCCACTCCCGCAAAGCCCCCAGCACCCAACATTACCACCTTCCAAATGACATCAGCGGGAACGACATGGACATCCCCCCCCAACCTCCGCCCCTTGTCTTGAGCCGTCCCAGACCCACACCCATTTCGACGCACGAAGGCACACAACAGCATGCCTCAACCAAAGCTGGTCTTGCACCCATGGCGCCACAGCTCTCGCTTGCCCCTCAGATGCACCGATTTTCACTGCACTAACATCCCTAGGCGTTGCCCATCTTTTACACCAAGCTCTCTTATGCTCCGTACGCGCGCTGATGAAATGCTTCCCTTTTTCGCAGCACCTCAATAGTTAGCCTTTTCTATCCAAGGCTCGTAACGCAGCTGCCAATCCCCGCTTTTCTCTAGTTTCTCTCTCGCCAAATTTGCTGCTTTCGAAAATGGTGCTATTCTTGGTGTTCGGGGATCTCCGACAGTCCACGATAGAAAGAGACGAGGTAAAGTCCACTCCCCCCTCTCCCTCTCCGTCTCGCCGTCGGCACTATCCGCAGAGACGCATACATACAACCCGCACTTCCGTTTCAGACCGAACTTGCGGCTGAAACGAACGTTTTCTTGTGCCTTTTATAGTAGACAGGCATAAGCACTAGAGCGCGCTTGACGATGCACCGTCGAGTGTGGAGCCGACGCAAGCAGACGCGGTTTGTGGCGAGACTACGTAGATTGCGGTCGAAGGTCAATACCCTATGAGAAGCAGAGTGCAGAGGGTGCCATAGGTCTGTAGCCACAAGAACGGTCTACAGCACTAACCACAGCAGGCGGAATCGGAACAACTAGGAGAAAGGCTCAGCTCTGCCGGTTCTTCCGTCCGCCCCTCCTTGCTGCGTTTCCCCTTCGCGATCGCGGCCTTACCCTCTCTCCCGTCCCTCTGCCCACTTCCCGCTTTCCCCTATTCCCGTCGTTCCAGTAACGCACAAGGCCTTGCCGACTGAGTAAGAGCCCGAAGTGCAGCGATCGACTATTTCAAAGAGTGCTTTGAGCCGTGGGAGCTGTACCTGAGTCAAGCGCGTCCCGCGCAGTGCGCGAGTTACGCGCCGAGCACGCCTCTCTCGCTTTCTGCGTGCTTGTAGCTGCACTTATTCCAGGAAGTGTTCTCGTTAAAAAGTCTCTCGCTAAGAGCACCACAAGCCCTAGATGACGATAGCGTCGACATATCGGAACGGACCCACGAGGGGACAGGACCCGAGGTATGTGAGACTTGTGTTATTTCGTCATTTGTTAAGGCCAACTTCCCTCTACTCTGCTTGTTAGATGCTTGCTTGACAATCCGTGCGTCCCGAACAGTCTCGACGTATCAAGCATTGTTGCCGCCCTCGTTGGTCTTTCTACTTTCTAGAGATTTTTGTCTCAAGGTTAGCTAAAACCCCTCTGGAATACCCTCCCGCCCCGCGTCTTGGCTTTTCGTGCCTTTACCATCTTGTAACGGTAACAGGGGTGCGATCGGCCCGCGCAATTCTAGCTCCGCGGGTCGGCGCATTCTCTCTCCGGGCACCGCGACATCCTTCCGCCCGACAATTCTGGCTCAGCCAATTGCGGAAGACATGGTGCTTCCCCAACCCGCGGACGCGACTGGCTATTCCTCCCTCCCCGCATCTCTTTCCGGCGCGGGGAGCCTCCTGCTGCAGCAGGCCGCTGCGGCGGCCGCTGGGGCGCGCGGGGGCGCGTCGAAGCACGCGCAGTCCTCGCAGCAGCAGCAAGCGGAGGGGAAGCATGCTGCTCCGGATAACACTGGCCTGGTACAGTACTAGATGTAGAGTACAGCTGTGTACTAATGCTCATGTAACACAAGTCGATTTAGCACAGGTTTCACAATCGTCGTTTCAGAATCATGTTATTGTCGGTGGTCAATCTTCGCTATTCATTCAATTTCGAGGTTGCTAACCACGAATCCTTCCTGCCTTGATTCTGTCGCCGGTAACAAATTTCGTCCGTTTTCGCCCATGCGTCGTGCCTCGCAGACTCCGGCAGATTTCAACCCAGGGATTATAACTCCTATCAACCTACAGAAGAACAAGCACCACCACCATCAGCCGCAGCCGCAGCAGCAACAGCAGCCGCCGCCGCCGGCGCAGCAGCAGCAGCAGCAGTCCTCCACGTCAGCACCCAACACTCCAACCAAGAAGAAATCGTCGCACCCGCCTTCGGCTTCCTCGTCCCTTCTCAGCGCGCAAGTCAAGACCCCAACCTCCCAGATCCCCCGCCCAGGGTCGGGAGGCCGCCGAGCCTCTGGCTTCTCGCGCTCTGATTGGCTCCCGCGATCCGAATCGCTCACGCGCTACTCCCGCCGCGCCAGCGCCGCCGCGTCTACCGCCGGCGCGACCGCGGGGAAAGCGGAGGGCAAGAGCAGCAGCGGCAGCGGCAGTGGCGGCGGCAGCAGTGGTAGCGGCGGTGCCGGTGGAAAGGGCAACGCAGGGTCGGGCGCGGAAAGCGGAACGGAGGACGAGCTTCCGCGGTCGGATTCCCTTCCGCGCATCCTCAATGCGGTCGCGAGCCGGCTCACTGGAGGGCGCGCGCACCACGCAAGCTCTCGCGCGCAGCATGCTGCGGAAAGCGGAAATGCGGGCGGAGGCGGGGGAGGTGGCGGAAGTAGCAGCGGCGGAAACGCTGGCGCTGGCAGTTCCGGTGGCGTCGGCGGCGGTGGCGCCGGCGGTGGAGGAGGAGCAGGAGCAGGGGGAGCAGGAGGGGGAGCAGGAGGGGGAGGAGGCAGTTCGAGCGCGTCTCCTATCGCGGCCGGCCTGGTGCGACCAACATGTGTCGCCAGCACTCGCTAGTCTCCTCCTGGTCTCCCTTATCCTCCGCCCCCCGCACTCCTACGATAGCGCTTCGTCTCCTCTTACGGCTTTCGCCGTTCCCCTTAGAGGCTGATAGTGCTCCTGCCCGTTCCCTCCGCCAACACCCCCCTCCCCCCTCTTGCCACCTCCTTCCTTCTGCCTTCCATTCTCCTCCCTCCAAGTTTCAACTGTCTTTCATCCTCGTTCGTTCCTGACTTGAAACCTTTTCATCTCTGTGTGTGTGTGTCGACCCCCCTGTCGTGCCCTGCAGGCATCGCCCGCATCCAAGGCCAAGGGACCCAAGGTTCGTCTCCCCGCACTCACTCGCTCCGCCTGCAATCCCTCCGCTCCCTCTCTGCTCCCGGCTTCCCTCTCCCTCGTCCCTCCCCCCCCCCCACCCCCCCCGCCCCCCACTTGCTCCGTCCTTCTCTGCTCCGTTACCCCCCTCGCCCACCCCAATCCTCCCGGGTCACCACTTGGTGTTTCTTTCCACATCACCCACCTCCCATTTCCTTCCCTTGTCCTCCCCGCGAATCGCCTGTTTCTCTCCCACCACCGTCCCACCCCCTCCACCTCTCTATCCTGTACCAACCTCCTCTCCAACGCCCTTCCCGCCGCCCCTTTCTCTGTTCCCCGCTTGCCCCGCTGTCGTCTGTCCTCCCCCTCTCCAACTTCCCCTTCTTTCCCTCTCCCTTTCCCCCTCTCCCCCTCTCCCTCTCCGCTTCCCCCTCTTCCACTCCCCCTTCCGCGCGCCCCCCCGCAGTGGACGCTGAGCAGTCTGGGCAGGGACCCCAAGGCGGACATGGAGGCATACCGCCAGCGGGTGAGGGGGGGAATGCGGGGAGGGGGAACGCGGGGAGGGGGAATGCGGGGAGGGTGAATACGGGGAGGGTGAATAAGGGGAGGGTGAATGCGGAGAGGGGGAATGCGGGGAGGGGAATGCGGGGAGGGGGGATGCGGGGAGGGGGAATGCGGGGAGGGGGAATGTGGGGATCTGGGCAAGGGGGGCTGTGTTAAGGGGCCAGGGGGGGAGGCGGGGGAACATAAGGTTGGCCGTGGGGGGCATTCAACAATGAGAAAGCTAACGGCATGAAACCACATGAAAGGCGGTTCTCGAGGCTCGTCGGGACTTACTAGACGGGCTGCAACATAACACAACTGTGCGGCACATGCATGCAGCCTGTCATGAAACTATATTTTACGCCTCCCAATCTACTCCTCCCCTCCACCCTCCCTCCCGCCTCCCCCTCCCCTCCCCCCCCCAACCCCCCCCGCCCCCCCCCCCTTGGTCCTCCATGTCCGTCCTATTTCCTTGTCTCAATTCTCGGATGAGTTCGTCCTGCACCCTCTGAAGTCGCTCGCATGTGCATAACCCTCCCTCCATCCCTCCAACCCTCCTCATCCCCGTCCCCCGTCCCCCTTCCACCCGCTCTCCCCCCCATTCCCCACCCTCTCCCCCCCCATTCCCCCCCGGGGCAGGCGGAGGCAGCGGATCGCAGTCTGAATGCGGCGACAGCGGACATCAGGCGCCTGGAAGCGCTGCTCGAGGTCAGCTGCTGCCCTTGCCGCTACGGCCTCCCCTGCCACCTCCCATCCCCGCTTGCCTCCCGTCCCTCCTGCTCTTCCCAACCCCAACCCACCAACAACCCCCACCCACCAACAACCCCCACCCCTCTTCTGCTTTTCGTGTCTCACGGTTTCGTGATACTTTGGCTCTCACTCCCCCGCGCCTTCCCCAACTTTCTCTCCTTTCTCTTTTTTACCACCTCCCGCCTGTTCCTCACGATATCTCCCTGCCCCTTCCTCTTGTGTCGTCCCTCGCTGGACGCCATTCGTTCCGACTGTACATCTCCTGGGAAAACTTGGCTCACGTCCTCGCGACCCCTTCTGCTCCTGCGTGCGTGCTGTTACTCTCTCCTCCCTGTTCTGCCTGCCCTGCTCCCCCTGCCCCGCTCTCTCTCCCCTGCTCTCTCGCCTCCTCTCTCTCCCCTCCTCTCTCTCCCCTCCTCTCTCTCGCCTCCTCTCTCTCCCATCCTCTCCCCTCCTCTCTCTCCCCTCCTCTCTCTCCCCTCCTCTCTCTCCCCTCCTCTCTCTCCCCTCCTCTCTCTCCCCTCCTCTCTCTCCCCTCCCTCTCCCCTCCTCCCTCTCCCCTCCTCTCTCTCCCCTCCTCTCTCTCCCCTCCTCTCTCTCCCCTCCTCTCTCTCCCCTCCTCTCTCCCCCCTCCTCTCTCTCCCCTCCTCTCTCCCCTCCTCTCTCTCCCCTCCTCTCTCTCCCCTCCTGCCCCTCCCCTCCTCTCTCTCCCCTCCTCTCTCTCCGCTCCTCTCTCTCCCCTGCTCTCTCTCCCCTGCTCTCTCTCCCCTGCTCTCCCTCTCCCCTGCTCTCCCTCTCCCCTGCTCCCCCCTCTCCCTGCGTCGCCTGTTGCTTGCTGTATCCCCGCCCCTACGATGCCCGGGAGCAGAAGAAGCAGAAGGAGATAGGCGAGCGGGAGGTGCTGTACAAGAGCTGCGAGAAGGCGCTGGGCGAGCTCGAGAGCAAGAACAGCGAGCTCAGGAGGTGAGACAGCGGGAGGAGATGGGATAGGCCGTGCTGAGTTTGCTTCTCAGTCTCCTGTTTCTGAGTCTGTTTCTCCTTATGCTCTGCGTGGGAGAGGTGAGAAGCACGGCCGTGCTGATTCTCTCTTCTCTCTTCTCTCGCCTTTTTCTCTCCCACCCACGTCTGAGACGACTTGGTTATTGAGAACTCTCAAAAACCGACTCAAGCACGCCGTGCCAGGTCCTTTCTCCTTGCTCTCTTCTCTCGTCCACTTCTCCCAGTCCCTCGCCTTCAGCCTTCCCATCTGCCCCTTTTCCCTTTCCTCTCTTATCGCCTACGTAATTTTTTATTTCAAACCTGCTTTTGCCTATGCCCCTACCCTACAACCCCCCTTCCCATACCTCTCCCCGGCCCTCCCTCCCCGCCTCCTTCTCCGCCCCCCCTCCCCCCCTCTCCCCCGTCTCCCCCCCCCACCCCGGGCCCCCGCGCAGTGAGGTGCGACGCCTGGAGAAGGCGGCGGAGGGCGCGCAGGCGGACGCGGAGCAGCTGCGCATGGGGCTGGAGGCGATGGAGCGCGAGGGGCGCAACCTCAAGAAGACCCTCTCCACGCTCACCAAGGAGCGCGACGCCCTTAAAGCCGGACTCGACCGCGCCATGCTGGAGCAGGAGCGGCTGCTTAAAGCCCTAACCATGAGCTGCAGCGAGCTGGAGGAGTTGAGGGAGGAGGTCGCAGGGATGAAGCGGCAGGAGGAGGAGCTTAGGCAGGAGGTGCAGGAGGAGCGGACGGAGAGGGAGAGGATCCAGGAGGATCTTCTGGTGGAGCTGGAGGAGGTGCGGCAGGCCAAGCGGGGGCTGGAGGAGAGCTTGAAGATGGCGGAGGACGAGCGGGATGAGCTGCGGGTTGCTGCGGGGAAGAACGGGGGTGGGGGAGAGGGAGGGGAGGGAGGGGGTGTGGTGGTGGTGGTGGTGAAGGGTGGGGAAAGGGAGGGCGGGAGTGGGGGAGGGGAGGGGGGAGGAGGGAGGGTTATGAGGACGAGGAGGAGGACGAGGAGAGTGGCTGGACGGATGGTAGTGCTGGTGCTGGCGGTGCTGGCGGTGCTGGCGGTGGTGGTGGTGGTGGTGGTGGTGGGGGGGGGAGTGGAAGGACAAGGCGGAAGCGCTGATGCAGGTCCTGCGGGAGAAGGAAGCGCAGTGGGAGCTGGATTTGATGATCGAGCGCGGGGAGGTGGAGAAGATCCGCCAGAGGGAGCTGCAGAGAGAGGCAGAGAGGGAGACGGAGAGGCGGAGGGACCTTGAGCTGGTGAAAGAGAGAGAGGAGGAGATCAGGCGGCTGCTGGAGAGGGAGAAGGAGAGAGAGGTGCAGCTGCTGCAGGGGCAGGCGCGCGTGGGGGGGGCGGAGAAGAAGCGAGAGGAGGAGAAGGTGAAGGAGAGGGAGAGGGACGTGCAGAGGGAGAGGGAGAAGCAGGCGGAGAGGGAGAGGGAGAGGAAGAGGCAGAGGGAGAGGGTGGAGGAGAGGGAGCGGGAGAGGCAGAGGGAGAAGGAGCGGGTTGAGGAGAGGATTCGGGAGGCGCAGAGGGAGAAGGAGAGGGCGGAGGAGAGGGAGAAGGAGAGGGATAGAGAGAGGGAGAGGGCGGAGGAAAGAGAGAAGGAGAGGGTGAGGCAGAAGGAGAGGGAGCAGGAGAAGGCACGTGAGGCTAAGAGGGAGGCAGAGCGGAAAAGGGAGGCGGAGTGGGCGGAGCAGGTGCAGAGGGAGAGGGAGGCGGAAGCGCAGCAGCGCGCGGAGGAGCGGGAGAGGGAGTTGCGGAGGGAGCAGGAGCGGCAGGAGGAGAGGGAGAGGGAGAGGGTGCAGATCCAAGAGCTGGAGCGTCTATGGGAGAAGGAGCAGGCGGCGAACCGGGAGAGGGAGGAGATCCGCGAGCGGGAGAGGCAGAGGGAGCGCGAGAAGGAGAGCGAGCGGCAGCACGAGAGGGAGATGGAGAAACAGCGGGAGAAGGAGCGGGAGAGGGAGCGCGCGGCGGAGCAGAGGCACGAGGAGGAGAGGGAGAAGGCGCGGGAGGAGATGAGGAAGCAGCAGGACGAGTGGCAGCAGGAGCGCGAGCAACTCACGGACGAACTACAGGGTCTGCACTCCCAGCTGCTGGCCGCCCGCAAGGAGCTGGACACCGTCCGCCAGCAGAGCAACGACCGCTGCAAGGCTCTGAACGGCGAGCTGGAGGAGCTTAAAACGCGGATGGTGGGGCTGGAGGCGGAGAACAAGAGGGTGAAGGCGGAGCGGGAGAGCATGGAGGGGGTGCTGGGGGAGGCGGAGTACGAGAGAGACGCGTTCAAACTCGCGCTCGAGCACTCCAACCTGGAGCACAAGCTGCTCTCGCATGCGCTGGTCAGTTGCCTCGCCTGCACAGTCCACTCGTGTCTCTCTCGCTCCCTTTCTATCTCTGTCTCTTGTCTCCTCTCTCTCATTCGCTCACTCTCTCGACCTGACCCTCCTCTCTCTCGTGTCTGCCCTCTCTCTCGTGTCTGCCCACCTTTCGTGCTGTCCCTTCTCCACCATCTTCCCTCCTCCCACTCATGTCTGCCCGCCCCCCCGGCTCTTCCTCCCTGCCACCCCCCGTCCCCGCCAACAGAAGTCTAACGGGACGCACGCCATTCAGAACCTTCATGGCGAGCTCTCCGCTGCTCAGGTGCGCTGCCAAGAGTATACACACCTGTTTAGTTGTCGTAAGTATATAATACGGATTGCCGACTCGCCAATCTTGTAACGCCCTGTACTCTCCCCCACCCCCGCCCCGCCCCTCCCCACACTCCCTCCTTTCGCCCACTCACCCCACCACCTTTCCCTTTTCCTCGCTCTTCCCATTCGTTCTAGCTCCACGTGTTGACCCCACCTGCAAAACCCATGGCTGCAAAGACGTAGCCTCTTCTCTAACGTCTTTCTCCTCTCCCCCTGCGCCCTCGCCCCGTGCGTGCAGGCGTCCGTGCGAGCACTGCAGTCCACGGTGGAAGTCATGCAGCAGCAGATGCGCAAGGTACGAACGAGGCTGATAGAGAGATGAAAGAAAATGATGAGGCTGATGAGGCTGATGAGGCTGATGAGGCTGATAGAGGGACGAACGAATTATCCAAGGGGTGGGAGAGCACTGCAGTCCACAGTGGAGGTCGTACATCAGCAGATGAGGAAGGTGTGTCGTAGTCAGGTACGAGTGAGGAAACCTTGGAACCGTGGAAGTTCACGTGTGTGAGAGCACTGTAGGTAACACGCAGCAACAGCTGAGAGGAATTGAGTTGGTTTCGAGAAATTTCAAAAAACAAACTCGAGAGGAAGACTGAGGTTCTGTTTGAGGAGTAGTATCTGACTGCAGATAGTCGGACTACTATCAGTTCAGGAGTGTGTGCGCGTTAACACCTGCCCTCCCCTGCCCTCCACTGCCCTCCCTTACCCTTTCCCCTGCCCTCCCTTACCTCCCCCCACCCCCCCCTGCAGTCATCGTCTGAGAGTGCATCGCTGTTGGAGGAGCTCACAGACCTCAAGGCCCTGCGACTCACAGAGGTGGCGCAGGTGAGACTCGACTATATTTTATCATGCATCATCTATCATGTATCATTTCCCAACTGCGGCTTGTGGACCCGAAACCAAAAACTCCAAGCTCTACCCATTGCCAGTGTGCTCGAGAGGATGATTGGCCCTTGTTTTGTGTGCTCTATCCCTCTACACTCTCCCCCACTCCCCCCCCAAACTCTCTCCCCCACACCCCCAACTCTCCCCTCCCCCCCACTCACCCCGAACCCCCTCGCTCATCCCACCCCCGCTTCCGCCCCTTTCCCCCCCTTTTCACAGCACAAGGACCAGGTGGCGCACCTGCAGGCGACCCTCTCCTCCCTGCGCCACGCGCTGGACAAGGAGCGTGACTCCAACACACGCCTGCTCAAGGCCCTTCAGGAGGCAGACAAGACGGCGCTGGACCTGGCGTCTGACGCGCAGGGCGTCACCTCGCACGCCCAGAGGGTCATGCGCCTCGCCGCCGCCCACAAGGAGCGCATTGGCAAGGCTGCTGCTGCTGGCGCCGCTGCTGCTGCCGCTGCTGGTGGTGCTAAGATCAAGTGAGGCGGGAGGAGGCGGGTTTTGTTACGCTGCGGCTAGTTATTCTGGGGAGAGGGTGGCAATAAGGAGCAGTCCGTGCCCACTTGCTCTCCCAACCTTCCCCCACCCACCGCCTCTCTTCTGTTTCCCACTCTCTCTCCCTCACTCCTCTCCCTGCCCTTTTGAACCCCGAGCGCAATGCTTTCACAATCGCCATGCTCCTTGGTTTACGTTGGACCTTGCAATGTATTGATTGGCTCTCCTGTTCTTGTCTAGCTGCATTCTGCTTTGCAATAGGCCTGGTGATGCTCCAGCACATTGTGTGATGCTGTGTGAGTAGTGAGTGTGTTCCTGTATACACGCCCACTGAGACAATGCCTTAGTACTGACGGCTTGCTTTGTGCTAGACTTTTGTGGTGTATTGCTGTAATATGCTCTATGCTCTTACCTTGTGATGATGCAAATGTACCTGAGGGCGGGTCCGAATAGTTCAATCGGGGTTTTTAGATGCGATTTTACGAAACTGGGTACAAAAACTGAACGATCCCAAAATCGTTGTCCTCCCAAATCGCGTCCCCTATTGCGAACGAAAAAAGAAACCGGCGCCAACTGGATGTGTAGCAAAAAACGGTTCGCCTCAAATGCGCTAGTCGCAGTTACCAAATGTCGCAGCTTGCGAAACAGATATTTCGTGCAAGGTTGGGTGACAGGTGTGATTTTGCGTTGCCACAGGCCGGGCTTGGCGAAACTCCAAAGCGCCAAACGTGTTCTCCCAACCCAATCGTACACCTGCTGTCACCCGAATCGTAAGCGAATCTTGTCTGGGGTTCATATACCTTCCATGTGTCGAGCGTCCCGAGTTACGGGAAATTCGCGCACTTGTCCTCGCGAAATCCAAACGAAGCTTAAATCGGGTTACTTTTCACGAAATGAATAGTGTATGAACTATATGGACCCGCCCTGAGAGTAGAGGTCAAGTTCAATAACAGTAGCTTTCTTCTTGGAAGCTCTGTTTAAAGCCCGTAGCTAAAATAACAATCAAGATTCCTGTTTGATTTCCTCTTGAAGTTGACATGATTGTTTTTTTAAGCGACTGAACCATACTGAAAATTTTCGTGCAAAAAAAACGGAACCTGGCCGTCGCTGTTTGGCGACACCTCTGCGCAAGAGCCAGGCCGTGAACAGTGAAATTCGCTTCATGCGACGAAATGTTGTGTTTCGGTGAACAGTGGAGGTGCGACGAGAACAGTGACCTTGGGGCGAACTCCACCTGATTCCGCAATAGCAGTCCTCTAAATCACTTGAAAAACGTCCCTGGATCGCAAGCTGCTCGCACAAACCCGTCGTAGCAATTTCCGTGCGATGTGCACAGTGTTTTGTGGGGATCGCATCAAATTATTCTTGTCGCAACAGAACGCGAAATGAATTTTTTGTCACTCTTCGAATCGGCATCCTCACTTTGAATTCGTTTCGGCCCAATTTTATAGCCCAATAAAAATCTGGTTTGAACCCAAACCTGCCTTCCATTCTATACTCGGACGGATTTCAAGGCACCAAATTCTAGTGGTTTCTGTTAAAATTATATAAGTTATAATTTAATGTAGGCTTGGTAGGTTGTTACTGAACCTTTCTGTAGAGGGTACAATCCCCTCCTTGTACTGCTCTCTCTTTCTAATCCAACTCTCTTCTTTCTCGTCACTTTTGCCTACTCCTATATCTACTTGCCTCACGCCATTCCATGGCGTCCTTCCTTCCTTCCTAGCTAAGCTAGGTTCCTAAGTGTAGTACCTATCCTAAGCTTCTTTGAGATGGTATCAGAGCAGGAGATCCTTCCTGCTGGACCGCCTACTCACGCTTCTCGCGCTGCTATGGCGCTCGTGTCGTGCCGCTGGCCGCGTCGTGCCGCGGTCGTCACGACGCACTGCTGTGGCGTCGCGCTGTCGTGCCGTCGCTTCCGCCGCGCATTTCTCTCGTCACTGCCTTCCCGCCGTGGCGGCCATGCCGGCCTGTCATGGCGGCTTCGTCGTGCGGCCGTCGCCTCCTCGACGCCCTGCCGTGGTGGCGTCGACGCTTTGCCGTGGCAGCGTCACCTTGCTGCCGTTGCAGCGTCGGCGTGCCACCACAGCGTCGACGCCGCGCTCTGGCGGCGTCGTCATGCTGCCGCGGCAGCGTCGATGGGCGGCAGCGGGCAGCACGCCGTCGTAACCGCCGCCTGCCCGCCCTCCTGCCAGTAAGCGCCGCGCCACTTGTGTGCGTGGGCATGACCCTACCAAGCCTAGGGGGTGTGTTAAAATTATATAAGTTATAATTTAATATAGGCTTGGTAGGTTGTTACTGAACCTTTCTGTAGAGGGTACAATCCCCTCCTTGTACTGCTCTCTCTTCCTAATCCAACTCTCTTCTTTCTCGTCACTTTTGCCTACTCCTAGATCTACTTGCCTCACGCCATTCCATGGCGTCCTTCCTTCCTTCCTAGCTAAGCTAGGTTCCTAAGTGTAGTACCTATCCTAAGCTTCTTTGAGAGTTTCTAGGTCCGCTATTTTAGCCTTGGGTTTTAAACAATTGCTTGGAAAGAATACAACACCCTTATACAACCATTTTGTACAGCCATAGCCCACAACCCCCTATTGGCTGAGGGGAGGTGCACCTAGAGGATTCTTGAGCCGCTCCAACAAACGACTCTTCAGCTTTGGGTTGCGCCTAACTTATTGCCCTTGCTAGCGCTGATAGCAGCAATGCATCAACTCACCTCACCTCACCTCTCAAAAGCACGGATAGGGCCTGTGATGCGCCTCAAGTGCAAAACAGCTGGCCACCTCCTCACTCCACTCCACCCTCGCCAGAGCCCGATGTTGAGCGCTATAAACCCGGCGTATAGCCTCCCATTGTTGATCCGGAGCTCGTTCATCAGGTGGCCCCAGTTCGACTCGAATGAACCCACGAAGTACTAGTCGCACTTGGAGGCAATGCGGGCTTTTGAATCCACACAGAAGTCAGTTCACCAGAGGCCTATATTGAGCGCAATGAACCCGGCGTATAGCCTCCCATTGGTGCTTCGGAGCTCGTTGATGAGGCGGCTCCAGTTGGACTCGAGCGACCCCACAAAGTAATCGCACTCGGAGGCGATGAGCGCACTGGCGAGGCTGACTGCCACATCCTGAGAAAACTCGTACGCGCGCGTGTCGTTGGCGTCAAGGGGCAGGCGTGGGTTGGAGGAGTAGAAGAACTGCCAGGTAGGGTACTGCTTGGTCTGCTCTATCACCGACTGGCGGAGGTGGGGGGAGAGGGAGGGGTGTCAAGGTGGGAACACGGGATGGGCGAGTGGGGCCGATTTGAAGTTTCCAGCGGCTTGGGGGGAAGATGAGGGTTAGAGGAGCAGTAGAACTACCAGGAAGGGTTCTGCTGAGTGGGAAGAGGTGGGGAGTGGGGAGGGGAGGGGAAGGGAAGGGGGAGGGGGGGGAGATGGGGCGTTCTTTGTGTGCTCTATCGCTGACTAGCTGAATGGTGGAAGACAGGGGCAGTGTGTCATCCTCCCTCCGTCTGCCATCCTCCCTTCACAAACACCCATTCCCACACACTCCCCCACATGCAAATCCCCTTCCCACCCTCTTCCCATCCCCACCCCCCTCCTCCCTACGCCCCCCTGCACGCACCTCCATCTCGGTGTTAAGCCACACGTTCTTGAGGTCCGGCACGGCTGCTCTGAGTCTGTGAGTGAAGAACATGTGCATGGCGAAGGACAGCAGCGTCATCTCCTTGAACTTGTCGCTCTGCCGCACGTGCACGCTCACCATCGGCCGCGGCAGGTACACCTCGCCGCCCACCCCCTTCAGCATCCCCTGCACCTCCTTCCTCTTCCACCGCCCCTCCCCGTTCGGCCCGCAGTCAAACGCACACGACTCCATCCCTTTCGCCGGCCACACCTCCCCCTCTAAAGTATTCCCTCCGAATCTCAACTCAGCGAGGGTCTTTGCCTGCACTTTTGCCGCCCCTTCTAGATCCGCCTTTCCGTCCGTGTCTTTCACGAGGAAACGCACCGGGTCCCCTGCAGCTACGAGGCTTAGGATCTCCGCTCGCTCCTCCTCGAACTGAGCCAGGTGCATGGCCGCGTGGAGCCCGTAGGAGGAGTGGCGCACGCGGTTGATGACGTGGCAGAGGTAGGGGGAGGGCCAGCGCAGCATGAAGCGCGTGGCTTGCGCGCGCCACCAGCGCACCTGGGGGCAAGGGGAGTGGGGGGGGGGGAGAGAGGGGAGAGAAGGGCGTTTGAGGTGTCTCAATAAAGGGGGTGAAGGTGTGGAGGAAGGCCGGAGTGATCAGCGCAGCATGAAGCGCGACCAGCGGAAGAGGAGGGGGGGGGTGTTGAGTAAGGGGAGGGGAAGAGGAGGGGTTGAGAGGAGGAGGGGCGTGTGTGTGACGCCTGGATGCCCTGCTTCCTTGTTATTGAACATTGAAGGTTGCAGGGAGTAGCTTGCTCATGTTGCAAGATGCGAGTTCCACCAGCGGCGGAGTGGACCATGCATCACCGGAACGTGCATGCAGCATGGGAAATGGGAGGGAGTGGTGGGACATGCATCATCATGTGGGAAGGGAGGGAGATGGGGATAGCGAACATGCAGCAACGGAACTCATCAGGCGAGAGCAGGATCACTTCCTGCGCCCAGACGCCAGCTGTGGGGTCCTTTTGCATGGAGGAGAAACACGGGCCAACCGGCTGGTCGATCAGCGGGCACATCTGACCAACGACCTGGACCTTTCTGAACAAGAGCATGCTTCACGCTATGTGAAATCATCCTTCTAGGCCTCAACATCTAGAGAGGGCGCTCCCAGGAACAAAATACTCTCACAGGGACTCTTCGTAGCACACCTCAACATGACTAAACCCTTTGCTCTCTCACCCCCGCCCCTGACCCCCGCCCCTGACCCCGCCCCTCACCCCCGCCCCTCACCCCCGCCCCTTACCCCCGCCCCTCACCCCCGCCCCTCACCCCCGCCCCTCACCCCCGCCCCTCACCCCCGCCCCTGACCTCGAGCATCTTGAAGTCGTCGTCCTGCTCCATCCTCCCCATGTACTCCACCATGTCCACCCGGTCCAAGTGCGGCGTGCCCCATAGGCTGCACGCATGCAGGGACACACGCTCACACGCACGCACACACCCGCAAGCATGCACACGTTCATACACGCACACACATGCGCGCACACACACACGCACACACGCACACACACACACCCACACACACCCACACCCACACACATGCACAGCGCACCACACACAGAGGGCGCACGAGTCTATTTCTGAGGTGCCTCAAAAGCAGGCGGACAGAGGGCATGAGGGCACAAGGGCACGAGGGCTGGGAAACATGAAGGTGTGGGTGGGTGGGCAGGGGCTCGCCATCACAACGTGTTGCAAACCTTGCAAGGAGAAATGAAGAACTAAATTTGGGATACCATAAATCAAGCAGCACAGATGGTTCGTCTTCTGAGGCATGGCCCCCCCAAACCTCAAGAAATCCTCCCCTCCTCCCTCCTCTCGTTCATCCTCCATCCTCCCGCCTTCCTTTTTCCCCGTCACCTTTCTCCTTTAGCAAAAGAGCCCCTCTCCCCACTGCTAACCTGCCCCCGCCCCCTTCCTCACCTGTTGCCTCTCTATCCCGCCACCTGAATCCACCTGATTCACGGAATCAGGCCTCTCACGTCGTCCCTCTCACACTCAGCTTCAGCTGATCCACACGCAATAGGCCCACGCACACCACACTCTCTCTACCTCCCCTCCCTGGCCTCCAGCCCACACCCCAACTCTCCCCCCCCAATACTCTTTCCTTCCTCCCAATCCCGCTCCTTCACCTGGTGGCTCTCGACTCCAGCTTGAGTTGGTCCACGCGCAGTGGGTTCACGCACACCACCGTCTCATTGGCCGTCTCGAGGCCACTGTAGTCCACATTGGTGCACTCTGTCAGGTTCTCGCCCCCCGGCGCTGCCATCAGCCGCCGCACCACTGCCTCACACGCAGGGGACACCAAGGGCGCAAAGAAGCACTCCCACGAGCTGTTGTGGCCCGCCGCTGGGGTGTGGGGGAGTAGGGGGAGTGGGGGGGAGGGTGGGAAGGGGGAAGCAGTGGTTGTGGGGGGGTGGTTTGGTGGGCACAGCGGTGCAGGCAGAAAGGTGCCTGCTCCCATCAGCTGCCACACCAACGCTTCGAAGGCGGGGGAGGCCAAGGGCTCGACGAATTGGCGTTTAGGATTGGAGGAGTTGTCTCTGAGGCTTGCTTGGACTGAACGCACTCTCACGCCATTGACCATGGGCGTGGAGAGCCGTTGTGGCACGGCGCTGGGGTGGGAATGGGGGAAGGTGGGAAGGGGGAAGGGGGAAGGTGGGAAGGGGGAAGGTGGGAAGGGGGAAACCGGGCAGGTTTGCCGGGGTTACGTAAGCATGCACCGTGTGTTTCAGTGCTCTTATACCTATGCATGCATGCGCCATGTGTTTCAGTGCACCACACCTATGCATGCGCCATGTGTTTCAGTGCACCACACCTATGCATGCACCATGTGTCTCAGTGCACCACACCTATGCATGCGCCATGTGTCTCAGTGCACCACACCTGTGCATGCGCCATGTGTTTCAGTGCACCACACCCATGCATGCGCCATGTGTTTCAGTGCATCACACCTATGCATGCGCCATGTGTCTCAGTGCACCCACACCTATGCATGCATGGGCCACGGGCGCCCTTCAATGCACCACACCTATGCAGTCGGGCGTGTTGGCGTGCTGGTAGGAGTCAGGGTACGGCACGAGCGTGCGGTTGAACGCCATGGATAGACTCAGAAACAACCCCGTGACATGGATCTGAGGAGTCAATACAGGGGGGGACAGGGAGACAGGGAGACAGGGAGACAGGGAGACAGGGAGACAGGGAGACAGGGAGACAGGGAGACAGGGAGACAGGGAGACAGGGAGACAGGGAGACAGGGAGACAGGGAGACAGGGAGACAGGGAGACAGGGAGACAGGGAGACAGGGAGACAGGGAGACAGGGAGACAGGGAGACAGGGAGACAGGGAGACAGGGAGACAGGGAGACAGGGAGACAGGGAGACAGGGAGACAGGGGAGACAGGGAGACAGGGAGACAGGGAGACAGGGAGACAGGGAGACAGGGAGACAGGGAGACAGGGAGACAGGGAGACAGGGAGACAGGGAGACAGGGAGACAGGGAGACAGGGAGACAGGGAGACAGGGAGACAGGGAGACAGGGAGACAGGGAGACAGGGAGACAGGGAGACAGGGAGACAGGGAGACAGGGAGACAGGGAGACAGGGAGACAGGGAGACAGGGAGACAGGGAGACAGGGAGACAGGGAGACAGGGAGACAGGGAGACAGGGAGACAGGGAGACAGGGAGACAGGGAGACAGGGAGACAGGGAGACAGGGAGACAGGGAGACAGGGAGACAGGGAGACAGGGAGACAGGGAGACAGGGAGACAGGGAGACAGGGAGACAGGGAGACAGGGAGACAGGGAGACAGGGAGACAGGGAGACAGGGAGACAGGGAGACAGGGAGACAGGGAGACAGGGAGACAGGGAGACAGGGAGACAGGGAGACAGGGAGACAGGGAGACAGGGAGACAGGGAGACAGGGAGACAGGGAGACAGGGAGACAGGGAGACAGGGAGACAGGGAGACAGGGAGACAGGGAGACAGGGAGACAGGGAGACAGGGAGACAGGGAGACAGGGAGACAGGGAAGAAAGGAGGGGCACAAAAGAAGGGGTGAGAGGAACTGGGGGAGGAGATTGAGAATATATAACTCAACGGCACAACTTGAACTTCAACCCCTGCTGGAATAAGGCGTTTTGGACCCAGTCGCGGCACGTGCATGCATGCGTGCAACTTGTTAGTACTCTCGATCTCTGAAAGGTGGCATGTTATGGCATGGGACAGAAGAACCGTCGTGAATCATACCTGCTACAGCTCCCCCAAGCCTGCTACCTGGTGTACCTGCTACGTTGCAGAAATGAGCATATGGCACACCCTGCAGTCTTTCAGCATTCTTGAGCCGACATTCAGGGCCATCACTCGCCAAAGATAAAGAGGCTGCTAGAACTATGCCGTTTCTAGCTGTGCGAGCATGTGGTAAGAGTGGACCCAGAATACTCACCCCGGACCCCACGCTGCGCATCTGCTGTGTGGACCACGGCAGCACCAGCAGCCTCTGCTCTGCCGCTCGCAGAGGTGACTCTTGATTCCAATCAAAAGTCACGTGAGCATGTGCACGAGTATGTGTGGGAGCACCCACTCACCCCGGACCCCACGCCGCGCATCTGCTGTGTGGACCACGGCAGCACCAGCAGCCTCTGCCCCTCGCAATCGCCTGCTGGGAACTGCCGCTCCCAGATGTCCCTCTGCGACACGCGCGTCTTGGCTAGGTTCTCCGCCTCCGCCCCCCGCACCTGAGATGAAGGGATGGAGGGGCGGTGGTGGGTGAGGAGACGGGGTCAGTATGAGGAGGCGAGGCGCCGCACGCCGCGACAAAGTGTTAGGGCGGAGGTGGGCAGCGGGGCGATTGCATGTGTGGGAACGGTTGTATGCCAAAAAAGGAGGAGGAAGAGGAGGTGGGTGGTGGACGTTTGGGGAGGGCAAGTTTGATGGTTGGAGTGCGCTATGCTGTGGGGTGGCTTGACGGATGTCACATGCATGCGGCCATGCCATGGCACGGAATCCTGCTCCCGAAGCCTGAAAAACCCGTTAAAGCGGTCATACCCATGCACACCCATGCTGACGCCATACCCATGGAGGCTGCGGGTCACAGTTGCAGCAGTCCTTTGGTCGCGCCCATTCCGGCGACTCCCCATTCGCCCCGCGCTGCTCCGCCTCCCGCCGCCGCGCCGAGCGCGCTTCACACTCCTCCAGGTGGGGCGCGGGGGGCACGTTGGGCGGAAGGGAGACGTTGGTGGGGGGGAGGCGCTGCTCGGGCTTGAGGCCGTACGCGGCCTCCCATTGCTGCGCGCGCACGGGTAGGGGGACGGCGCGGGGAAGACAGCGGAGGCGGAAGCAGAGGGGGGAAGGCGGAGGCGGTTGGGCAAGGGAGAGTCAGTTTGAATGCGCAGAGAGGGAAGGAGTCTAGTGGGAGAGCCAGAGGGAGAGCGTCCGGTAACTAGGCAAACCTACGTTACTAGCTCTTCCGGGGGAGCTTAGCTTAGACACGCGGCAATGTAGAGGGAAAGGGGGGCCGTGTCAACACAATGTAGGATGAAGGTGGTGGAACCACCCCGCCCGCTTTCGGGTAGCAGCGTGGAGGATCTGATTCCGAATTGGACCTTATGGGGTATGCATGCGGTGCTCGCTGTGAACGCATTGCTGCTTCTCGGAAGGCAAACACAGCGCGCCTGTTTCGACAGACGAGGCACGCACCCGGAACAGCGACATGCCCCGCTCGAACCCCATGTCGCCCACCAATCCCGACGCGTGGAGCGCATGGCTGGCGCGGACTAGCGCGCCAATGAGCGCGGATTCCAGCAGCAGCAGCACCAGCGCGAGGCGCGCAGACGCGGTTGCCATGGCGCTGACCAGGAGCCGCCGACTCGCCTCGGACGGCGAAAAACCCTCTTGCGTATCTCCTCTATAATTCCTGTGTCTAGGACATTCCTTTCTGGGGTTTCCTCTCTGCTTTCCGAATGGACGTGCGTGAAGGTGCAGCGACGAGCATCGTTAGCATCGCGCAGCCAAGAACGACTTGCTCGACGACTCTCTAGCTTCGGACGCAGCAGAGCCTACCAGTCCTGACATCACTCTCAACCGATCGATGTTTTCTTCAACGTTATCGGCACATCGAGTAGGCTAGAGAACTGCAGAGATGTCCGTGGAGAGCTGTAGAAGTCCGTTCCGCGAGTCGCGGAGAGAAATGGGAATGGCTGAAGTGCCCAAAGTGCCCTGAGAATTTTGTCAGCGAAACACACGTCAACCCACCAAGCTGTACATTTCCGAAACTGCAACTTCCGGTGTCGAGAGTCGACAGCAAGTGTTGGTGTTGGGGGTTCAGGGCTTGTTCCGATAAATCCTGAAAGCAGTGGAACACTGGGGTCACGCTCCGTGTCGGGATTTCTTGTCAAATGGTTTACGGCGCCGAGAGCCAACTTGAGAGTTTGAATCATCCTCCTCGACACCACACACGTTGACACGAAATGCCCAAGTGGGCTGGGCATGAAGCCCCAAAAACTGTTTTCCGGGCATTAGGGTGTGGAACATAGATCGGCTTGAGCAAAAAACCAGAACTCGGACCAGTATTTTCCGCCAGATGCGAAACCCCCTGTCAACATTTGCGGAAGGATGTAACCATACTTCAAACCTGTAAACAATCAGGGCATTTCCAATGCGTACGTTTTGGGCTTTGACGGTTTCTAAATGTACTACGCAAACGCCTGAAAAATGTACCGTTAAGTGTAAATACAACGTGCTGGTCCCTGAAACCCATAAGCCCTGTCCAGCGCGAATGCCACCGCGTGGACACGAGCTGCCCATCTATGCGTACACAAGGTGGCACGAAATTGCGAAACCGCTCCAGTTACACGCTACACGGTGATTTCGCCCGGATAATAAAACAAAAACCGCCCAATTCCCTTGAGGGAGCACCGGGTGTGGCAACCAGCGATCGTGGTCAAGGCCGGAAAAAAGAGGGAACTGTTATGAATTAATCAAAGTAATAACAAGTGGTGTAATAAAGGAGTCGTGATTCAAGAGTGTCGATACAAATGAGGGCCAATGCATGTATAGGCACGAGCAGAGCTAGCCGGGAACCACGCGAACATGTTGGGGCGATTCGGTTGGCGAAAGCCACGGAAGCGCTGCGCGTCAAGGTTTGGGTTCGCAAAGTGGTTAGCGACCGATGAAGTTGGCCGAGCCTGGACTTCCGAGAGTCGAGGGCGTACGCGCTATAGTCGAGCCCAATAAGGAAAAGGGAATTTCCTTACACCACCTCCCCTTCCGGGATGAGACTGTCAGAAACTAGCTTAGCTAGGAAGCCATAGAATGGCACAAGGTTTAGCTAGGAGCTAGGAGGAGCCATGAGAATGGCGAGAGGTTTTAGGTGCTAGGAAAGTTGAGGAGAGAAAAGATGTTGGATTAGAAGAGAGGGGAGTACAAGGAGGGGTTTGTACCCCCTACAGAAAGGTTCAGTAACAACCTACCAAGCCTATATAAATTATAACTTATATAATTTTAACACACCCCCTAGGCTTGGTAGTCACACACCCACACACACCCACACCCCCTAACCTAGCACCCCAATTCCAGCCACAGTGACAGCGACTCTAGGTCGGTCGACCCCACGGCGCGTGAGGCGGCGACGTCGACCGCAGGGGCTGCGGCGGCGACGGCGGCAGCGGCGGCAGTGTCGACAGCGGCGGCGGCGGCGGCGTGCGGCTGCGTGGCCCCGACGCAAGCGGCGACAGCGGCGGCGGCGGCGGCTTCGACAACAGCGGCAGCGGCGGCGGCACCCGCACCTCTCGGTGACGTGGCCTGGCCCCGCGACTGTGGGACGGCCGGCGGGAGTCAGCCGTCGTCTGCGGAATGGAAGAGGGCGCAGGGGAAGGAGGGGGGGTGGGGGGGGGGGGCGGCGCCACAGGCTGACATGCGGGCGGCCGGTCTAGCGGCGCCACAAGCGTCACGCGGCCGGCTGCAGCCCGACGACGCCGTCATGGAGCGGCGTCGATGCCGCAGCGGGGCGTCGACGCTGCGACGGCAGCACGACGTCGCTGGTACGCCGACTGCGCGCTGTCGCGTAGACGCCGCGGCAGCGTGACGGCGCCGTCACGTCGCGACAGCAACTTGACGCGACGGCGGAGCTGCGGCACGACGGCGCGGCCACAGCAGCTGGACGCGGGCGCCATGGACGTCGACAGCGGCGCCGCGGCACGACGACGCGGCCACAGCAGCTTGACGCGGCCGCCATGGCAGCGCGAGATAGAGAGAGAAAAGAGCACGCAGCGGAAACGCGAGGAGCAGGCCCACACGGAACGAACTGCTCTGATACCATGTCAGAAACTAGCTTAGCTAGGAAGCCATAGAATGGCACAAGGTTTAGCTAGGAGCTAGGAGGAGCCATGAGAATGGCGAGAGGTTTTAGGTGCTAGGAAAGTTGAGGAGAGAAAAGATGTTGGATTAGAAGAGAGGGGAGTACAAGGAGGGGTTTGTACCCCCTACAGAAAGGTTTAGTAACAACCTACCAAGCCTATATAAATTATAACTTATATAATTTTAACAGAGACTACCCACATCTGGAACACGTCGTCGATGTAATTAGTCCAGGACGACTTTGTGTTAATCAAGCATAGCTGCGGGTGTTAGAATACGTGAATGATTACTAGAAGGAGAAACCTAGAACATATACCTGTTGGGTTGTACTCACTAGAAGCATACACCTAGTCCAGCCTATAACTTCTACATAGAACATATGTATAAGTTGACACACCCCCTAGCCTTGATAAGGAGTGGTGCGAAGCAAGAAGCACACAGCTTAGGGTGGCACTATCAAACATGTGTATCTTCTATGTTTGCATAGACTGTGTATGGCCACCTCTTAGAGGGTACAACACTTAGGTATTTTTACCTGTACTCTCTCTCTACTCAATCATTCAGTTCTCACTTTAACAGGCACTACTAGTCCAACCACTAAGGCAGGGGTCCGGAGATCAGTCAGCAAGAGTACAAACAAGACTAAAGCAAGCCAGGGCAGCACTACTAGTCCAGCCACTAGAGGTAAGGCCACAAGGCCAATCAGACAGGTATATATAATAGAGAGTACACAATCATGGCCCTAGCAAATGAGAAGCTACAGGAACAAGACTAAGCTGTACACAGTACCGCAGCTGGATATGCTTCGCTCTGCCCTCAAGCCGAGGCTCCTGACACAGGAGGATCATGGCCCTGTTGTCAGCGTACAGGACCGGGGCAGAGCTAGGCCGCTCACCTAAGTCTGTGAGCAAGAAGGTCAGCCAGCGGTGCTCCTGTGCCGCCATCGCACCAGCGTAGATCTCAGCCTCATAGCTGGACTGAGCAACAGACGACGAGCGAGTGGATCTCCAAGATATAGCACCCGAACCAAGGCTAAAACAGGAGCCCTGAGATGACCTGGGAGTCTACAGGAACTGGAGCAGAGAGCCCATGGTCTACAGGTAGAGGTGTGGGCTGTGCAGAGAAGAAGTGAAGACCGAACCTCTGAAGGACCTGACGCACCAAGTGTGACTGTGTCAGAGTGATGGTGCGTGCTGCTCTGTCCCTGGAGATCTGCAGGCCAAGATAGCGACGCAGCTCTCCTAGGTCAGTGCAGGTGTGTCTCTTCAGCAGCTCGGCCTTCATAGAGGCCAGTGCGTCCCTAGCAGCAGTAGCAAAGACCAGGTCGTCTACGTAGACAAGGATGTAGAACGGAGTCTGGGCGGAACACACAAACAACGAGGGGTCAGCAGAGGACGGAAAGAGCTGCAGGTCTGCTAACGTGGCACGCACCGTGTCGTGCCACTCGCGAGGAGACTGACGCAGTCCGTAGACCGGGCGCCTAAGAAGCCACTGGGTCCCAGGGGGGAAGGTACCAGTGAAGCCCTGATGTCGACGCAGGTAGACCTGCTCGTGTAGGCTGCCCTGAAGAAAGGCAGTAGAGAAGTCGAGGGAGTGAAGCTCGTAGTCGCGCTGTGCTGCTACGTGTAGCAGCGCCCGAAGAGTGGTCATCTTCAGGGTCGGGGCGAAGGTCTGGAAGAAGTCAACCCCCTCGCGCTGGCTGAAGCCTCTGGCCACGTAGCGCACCTTGAAGACAGGCGGCTCTCCAGGGGGGCACTTCACCTTGAAGAGCCACCGACCATCGACTACGTTCACCACTGGCGGGGGAACTGCGTCGACGTAAGTGCCGCTGGACCTCCAAGATGCCATCTCCTGCTCCATGGCAGCTATCCACTAAGAGGCCCAGGGTCCCGAGGTTACCTCAGCGTAGGTGCGAGGGGTCGGGATGTCGAAGGCGTCTGGGTCACCCTCTGGGACTAGGAGCATGGAGCAGAGATGGGGAGCGGCCTCGGAAAGGAAAGCAAGCTCGTACTGCCTGTTCTCTAGTACGTCAGTGCCAAGGGCAGGTGCACCCCCGACGGGCGCAGGACGGGCAGGGTCAGAGACCAGAGCGGTAGCGTAGTCAAGGCGGCGGGTAGAGGCGAAGTCAGCGACAGCAGCAACAAGAGCGTCAAGGCAGGAGACAGGAACAGACGGGTCTGTAACAAGAGAGGCAAGAACCCGAGAGACAAGGGGACGAGCGGCACGGAGGTAGTCAGACAGCGGGGGAGGTGCAACAACGAGCGACGAGGGAGGAGGCGAGGGGAGGAGGGGAGGACGAGACGAGTGAGAATGGAGTAACATAGGATGGGAGCGCGGGACAGGGGAGACGGGACGAGCACGGGAGGGACGGCGAGACCAAACGTGGGACGGAGGTGTAGGGTCAGGAGACAGCGGAGGTGACACAAGGGGGGAACGAGGAGGAAGACGGGCTGGAGAAGAGTCCGGGGGCGGAAACACAGGGCCGTATACAGGAAAGGGAGGAGGAGGTGGGAGAGACACCGGCGAGCGGTCATGGGAGGGAAGGCCGAGCAGGCGAAGAGTGGAGACCGGCGGCGACGACTGCGGCGGCTGGTGCTCGACCCTCGAACCGGCAGGGGCACGATGACCTCCGGGAGAACACTCAACAGCAGCACCCCCAGAACCAACACCCCCAGAGCGAGAACGCTCTCCAGCCCCAGCGGCACCCCCAGGCCCGCCGGGACAGACCACACCAGGAGCCGCAGGACGAACACCCTCCTCAGCGCCAGTACCCCCAGAGGCCAAGAGCGGCGGCGGCGGCGGCGGCTGCGACGGCGGCGGCGGCGGCTGCGACAGCGGGGGGAGAGACACCAGGGAAGGGGGACGCGGCAAATGCGGG